TATTGAGTCACACAGAAGGAAACTGATTCAGTAATGCTCTCAATTGGTTTTGCGATGTTTGTTACAGTATAGACCCACACATGATATTGTCAATGAAGTTCTTGAAATATACCTGAAACAGTAGGGTCCTATCAGTTTTGCCTTCAGTGAACTTGTAAAAAAAGAGAAGGGAAAAAAATTGAATATTTCATTTTGTAATCGAATACTATATTGTGCATGGGTTTTTGACTACAAACTGTGTTGCCTTAACATTTGGCTAATGTCCAGCAAACTATAATAATTCAGCCTTTATGCTTATCCTCGCAAAACACCGGAGGCCAGTAGAAACAGTTAGCTTGAATAAAAAGTGAAAAAACACATCTTTCAGCAAATTCCAAATTGGGTTAGATATCAAGCTAGCCATCTATACCAAATGATGACTTATAGTTGTTCATAATTAAAGAAATGTGCTTCTGACATTTTCCCTCTACTCACTCGACCATTTAAGAAATGCAGCGGGTGCAGTACCGCTACTTGCTCATGTGAGGGTGAAACATCTATCAACCTTTTTGCTTCATCTCGAAAGTTCAGGTAATATTTTTGAACAAATTTCCCTTAACATATGTCAAAATGTAAAAGTTGTTTTAAAGGAAGAGGTCAACATTTTATTATTGTTCTATGTATCTGTTAAAAAATCCCTATCCCGAGATCCATTTGGTCTTAGGGGAAGAGTGCTGAAAGAAACCTTTCTCCGCTTATTTTTTAACAAACGGAAATATTTGTTTGTTCTTGCACTTTTGCATTTTGTCATGGGTTAATCTCCTGATTAGCTTCAACACTTCAATGCATCCATGAATTAGTCTTGTTGTTTTGACTGTCACTTTTAATTTCTCCTCTAGCTTAAAAGCCGCATGACAAATTGACGTACTACAACTGTTTTCTCAAGCCACTGGGTTCTCATATACAAGTACATTTCCCAAATAATGGGAAATACATGCTTGTTGTTTTTTTCTGTTCTCTTTGTTTAATGCAGCCATGCTCAGGATCCACCAAGTTAGGTAGCTATATACTGAAACCAAATGGCGTGCAAAGGAATTAACATTCTAATTAAAATCTAATTATACTTTGATTTGCCAGATAATTATACTCGTGTAGCTGTTCTCTGGACTATTCGGATTTGATGAGGTGTGTTAGTGGTAATTACATCGCTGATATGGAGTTGTGTGACAGCGCAGTTTTCACACTGAGGCAAAACAAAAGAAAACGTAGTTCCTTTGTGCAATCCATGTTTTAGTAGAGGCTGTGGTTTGGGTAATTAGTTCTTAGTGTACTAAAGAGTAGAAAAAAATAAGAGCATGAAGAAAACAGGATATAAGCAGTCCTATTAATGTTGTCTATAGTTGGTATTCATGACTCAATGTGTTTACATTTGATGTTTTATTACATTATGTAGAATTTTCAGGACATTTTTGTACACTTAAGATACTATTAAGAATAACTAACTTAATTAAATAATATGAGCACTGAATTATTTAATTGTTTTAATCTATCTATTATCTAAGGCTGTTGTGTTTACTTTTAAACTGCTTCAGCCTGAGTGCATTGTGTAAGTTAAACTGGAAACTCATCCGTATAGGAACTTGATTTTAACCCTAAAATACATTTGAATGTCATGTTCCCAAAATCATCTTGAGACCATCTGTATTTTAAGAACAGTGATAGAGGAAGCCAAAGTAGACCAGCCAGACTGGTCTCAACTCGAGTAACATAAATTAAAGACTTCAGACAATAAATGAAAACTAAATTAAACCTAAGACATTTAGAATTTGAATTATGTTTTAAAACAAGTGTGAGTTATATAAAGTGATGTCATTATGTTACAGAAGTAAAAAGGAGTCCAATTGAAGCGTTTCCGGCATTGGGGAGTACATTGGATGAAACTCCCTCTGGCTTGATTTATGGCATTTTGGCCTTTGCAGACCATTTAAATGCACAAAAACCTATAACACACTACAGGAAAGGGAAAACGCCAAAAAGCATAATAGGGCCCCTTAAAGAGTAAAATTGGTTTTGTTGTACCAACCAGCAACATACCTTTTAAAACAAACACAGAAATTAACCAAAATAAGTATTGAATCCCTTTTAATTCTACCTTAATTGAGAACATGTGTTGCAGCCAATACAGGTACAGCTCAACGACAGCTGTGATGATGTCACTGTGAGTGCCTGACAGGGTTTTCACCTAATTCCATAGCCTAAAGTCATATCCTTCACCAGCTGCACACACCTTGTTCAAACAAGAGGCACACGCGTGATCAGATAAGAAGAACCTGGAGCTCCCTGTATGTCCTGGAAAACAACACGTGAAGAAAGGTGCCATTAGTGTTTATTGTAACCTGAGGGGAAGGTAGTCAGGAGTTATGAAATAACTCATCTAGACTCATCCCTGGTAGTATTCCCTTGAAGACTTTTGGACTTGGAAAGCTACTTTGGCCACATGTTCATATTGGATTTGGTTAAGTGGTGCTGTGTAGCTCAGTGGGTGGAGCGTGGCAGCAGAAAGATGAGGCAGGATCCAGATTTATGCACACAGCGCCATGGTGCATTGCCAGGTTTACAGGTTCAGCTCCCTGTGTAGATCAATGAGTAGAGAAATGCACTTAGTGTGCCAGGGTTGGGGATTTGAATCACACAATGAGCCTATCCATGCTGAGGACTGAGGCACCTGCAGCTTCCATAATGTGCCTTGAATAAAGAGGCACATTTAATTAAATGTCAGAAAATTCCCTGTGTTGCATGTCATATCTGTGATTAAGTATATGCTTTCAATGAGTTACCATGGCAAAACAGAAATGTGTGTTTCTGATTGCATTGCATTGTAAATAGTACTGCAGGTAACCAGATCCACAATACAGTGTCTACAGGGTCCACAACATGACTGCTTGGGGCGCTGAAATGTGTTTCATAATGCTTTATATTAAATTGTGTTTTTCAAAATAAAAACCAATACCAATATAGTCACATGGATTTTACGTATTAGCAAAGAGCTAAACAACATTTAATTTACCCTACCTTGGGCCTCCTAATAGCTCAGTTGGTAGAGCTAGCGGCCCATGTATTGGGGCTTGGTCCCGGGTTCAAATCCGGCATGGAATCATAGCTGTATGTCATGCTCTCTGTCTCCCCTTTTCATCACTGTCACTTAATAAAGGCAAGGGTTGCCCCAAAACATATTTTAAAACCTTTATTTACCCAACCTATTCGAAATTTTAACTTGAGGCTACTTTTATAACTTGGTATTTTATGCACCCTAAAAAGGATTTTATACACTTGATTGAAGGCTTAGTTTAACATGAATGAGATCCATAAACATAGTTAGGGGGTCCCTGTTCCGTCTCTATCTGTTCAATCCTTGGAAACATTGTAACCCTCACTTTAAAGAGAGGCCAACATTTTCTAAACAGTTTGTATTGTGTATTGTTGGGTACATATGAGTATCGTCAACTAATTCCACGTATGAGTTTAAAACATTGGAAAAGAAACAATGAAGAAACCCCAAGTGGAACAGAAAGTAAACACAAAAAGACTAAAAAAATCACATCTCACACTCCAAATTAAATGTATAAGAAATACTTTAATGCTACATTTCTAAATCTATCCTCATGCAACATGTTTTTTGAAACATTTTGATTTCACACATGAAACGCCTCACATCTGCAACCTCTTCCTGCTCTCAATTTGCCAAACATACTTTTTCTGTTTCCTTAAGAGTGAGTGTTCTCTCTGTATTGGGAAAACCGTTTTGCATGCCTGTTTTGTTTGCCACGTTTTCATACTGTTTTATGAAAACTCATCTCTTTCGACTCCACTTCGAGCGATAGAATTACTAACAAAGAATTACTAACAAAGCACTTATATACTAATAAAGGACTGGCTAATCTAAAGCCAGTTGAGTAGCACTTGAAATGTTTTGGCTCTATGAAACCTGATGTACTTATATGATTCTGTTTTCTTCAAGTTTGTATCTTCTTGGTCGAATGCACTTATTGTAAGTCGCTTTGGATAAAAGCGTCAGCTAAATGCAATGTAATGTAAAATAATGTAATCTAATGTAATGAACAAGACAAGCTCATATATTTTCATCACTGAGAGACTCTCAACATTTTATAAGTTATAATAGCTATTAAAATGAAATGGGATATGGAAAACATATCAAAGTTACTCTTTTTCTGTTAAAGCATAATACTTTCAGGCCAAACAATACCCATGAGGTTTTAGTGCAAAACAAATTCATTATTAATGTTTATTTTGGATTTATTTTAAGTAGCCACAGGCATGAAACAATCTTTTTGGACACATTTTCCAAATTCTGTCTTACATATTTAACAGCAAACACACTGTGTTGAATTCATCTAAATAAAACATGTAATGTAATATGTAACAATTAAAAAAAATGTTAATGCAACATTATTAAGGAGCCTTGTAAAGAAATGAAGCAGATGTTATTGGGTGTGTTCACTGGGAGTGGACCTCCAGCTCTGAAGTCCAACAGCTGGTTCCACATCGGGCATGCGCACTGATGGAAGCTGATGTCGCCTTGAAGTACTGTTGGAAAAATTGGATAGTACAGACATGAATGCCAAACAATAGCGTTGTGCAATCCTGTATTGTTCCTCTAAATATTACCAAGTAGCTTTTTAACTTACAAGGTTTAGTGCACACAAATCACATATAAAATAAAGATACAAAGTAATGCAAAAGTCAAGAAGAAAATAAAAGATAAAAGTAGGCTAGTAAAGAAAGAAAAAAAGAAAAAAACAATTGAATAAACTTTCAAAAATAATATAACGATGATGTTGTACAACAAACTCTATAATTTAAAATATAACTATCAAACGCACATTATAACTTTTATAACCAAGCCATTGATGTGTTATTATGCCTTACATTGCAACCATTTTTAGAAGAAAGAAAGTCGGGGCTGTAGCGCTCAGAAACACGAGCTTTGGAGCAATACATGAAGGCAACTTTTCCCCTGAGTGTGTACTTTAGCACGGCCCGGGGAAGTTTGTTGTTAACAGTGATTTGGGGGTATACTCTAAACAGGGTCGATGTGAGCTCAGCAGGCAGTAGTTTTATTGAGGATGTGAGTCAGTTAAAGGTGAGTAAGGAAGATGAAGAAACTACAACGCTCGTGACGTCAGGGCGGTAATTTTCTTGATTTCGCAGGTCTTAGTTAACTTGGCTGTGTTGGAGCAACTTTGACATACGCTCTTCACACTGCGGGATGTGCACTTCATACTCAACTCTCTGCGCTGTGTGAAACTCCCTGAAGGCTGTTTTTGTTGTTTTTCAACTCGAAACTTCACTCCATTTTAGTATCAACAATGCTGGAAAAGTTGTCACGCTGTTCCAACTCGGAGGGGGAACTTTTTAATGGAAAGAGTCGGTGGACTTCGGCGGCAGTCGCTGTGGTCCTCCTGGGTGTGTTTGCTTCATCTTGCTGGGCAGAAGAAGCATCCTGTCATGGAGCCTACGACCTCTACTTTGTTCTAGACAGGTAAGTACGAAAAAAAGCTTTAGTTTCTGTCCCTTCTCATTGAAAATAACAATGGAAGTAACCTGCTGCTAAGATAACTCTGTTAAATTAAGTTTAACTTTCTCATAAAGTTTAACGGTATGTGCCAGGGGGAGCGGGAAAGGGTCGCTTAACACAGGTGTGATGGTTTGACCTGATTAGAAAACATGTCACTTTGCACACGGCTCTATAGCCTCAAATGCTGAACAGTTTTTTTATATTATAACCCAAAAATGGTGTCGCCAGTGTTAGGTTTGCTTCACATTTGGCTAAAAGCGTGTGGACACTCCCAGGGCCGTCCCTGGCCAACTTGGGGCCCCAAGCGACATTGTGAGATGAGGGCCCCCCCCCCAACCGACAGGAGTGAACATTTATTTTTTAGAAACAAAGTACTTTGCAAATATAATTCCTGTTTATTATTATTATCAACACAGTTAGGGTAAATGGTAAATGTGCATGTATGTCGTTCAGTATGCGTTTACAGGTGAATGCATCTGCATTTCCTGCCAAATACTAGCCTCAAAAAGATTAAAATATAATTAATACAAATAAACTACTTCTACTAATAATAATAATCATAATCAATTCAATAATATAAATACTATATTATTTTATTATAATATAGTTGTAATATAGTCAAGACAAAACATGCTTATTACATGCTCAAAAACTAATATTTCTTAAATCTGTATTCAAATGTAGTTCCCTCTGTCAGCAATGTATCAACAACTACACACACATTTCTATCAGTATTTCTCTGTGTTGTGGTTGACATGATGATGACTGTTAGGAGTTAAGGGGAGAGGCTGAGCATCACCATGAAATGTGCAAATTGACATAAAAGGGGAAAAAATGCTCCATGTTTTTTAGGCTGTAAACTTTAACTGCTATGTAAGCCAACTAGACAGACAGGTTATCACTCTTCCTCCTGTACATTAGCAGATAAAAGGCATAAAATACTTGAATCAATGGTAAATAAAAAATGCTGGAAATAACTGCATCTCGGACTGAAACTGTCTTTTTGCCGACATTTCTTCACCTGCACTAGTGGCCGTTTCAAAGCCGTGATTGGTCAGATGTCGGGGGGTGCGGGGTGCGCGGAGAACTGCGCACAAGCCGAGCTCATAAGCCCCCTGTGCAATGTGAGGCCCCATGCAGCCTGCATGATCGGCCTGTAGGGAGGGACGGCCCTGGATACTCCTCTCTAAACATATGGCAAACATTCGGAAAGGGGTGTCAACAAAGTTTACTTTTCTTTAAAGGGAAGTCTGAATGCTACAGTTTGCCAAGACAATGATGCCAATGGTTTGGGTAAGGCCCTTTTCTGTTTCAGCATGACCATATCCACAAAGGCCAAAACTTAACAGTTTAGTGTGGAAGATAGCCTGCAGAGAGTACTGACCTCAACCCATTGCAAAACTTTTGAGATGAACTTGAACGTAGACTATGAGCCAAACCTTATCAGCCAACATCAGTTTTGGACCTCACTGAAGCCAGGTTCCAAAAGAGTGGAGGCTGTATAGCCGCACATTGATGCCTATGGCTTTGGAATGACATGTTAACTAATCACATGTTGGTGGAGTATGTGTATACTCACTAACGTTTGAAAGTAGCTGTGATAGTAGGGCCTATATTGTATCCTCTTTATTGCAAAATTGTATTTGTGTGTCTTTTTAGCCCTTATGTATGTTGCATTGTTGACGGAGCCTGGGATTAAGATTTTCATTGCCAGCCTGTAGGTGTTTGGCATATGACAACAGAGCCTTTGATTCTGAATGTGAATCAGTCGGTCTATGGAACCCTACCACCTCACCTGTCAGCATCTGTCTTTTTTCCCTCTTGTATCACAGAGGGGTTACATATTTCAGATAGTAACTATCACAAAGGTGTTCATGATGAGAAAGATAGCTGATGGCTGTAGCTTGTTGGTTCAATGTAGCTGCACAGTGTCCATCAGTATACTCTACTGCTGTTGTACTTGGCAACTGTTTAGTTCATTTAATACAAGTTACTGTACACTTGACTAATACTAAGTTACTAAAAACACTTACGAAGGTGAATTGCATGAAGCACAGCATGACACGGTGAAAAAGCAGTTGCCTATTTCGATCAGAATCAGAATACCTTTATTCGTCCCACAAAGGGGACATTCACATTGTTACAGCAAAAGTAAAGAACCCAAAATAGCTTAATATTAATGAAGAAGCATGCATAATATAAGTGTAGATTTCTGAATAACAAAGCAACAAATTAATAACATTTGTTATGAAAATTGAAAGTGACATTATCATATCCTTGTAATGCATTACAGGCCTTTCAAATGTATCAGCAGCCGCATCGAAACTTTGGCTAGACCAAAATAGCCTTTTTCTTCCTGACGATGCATTACAGAACTCAGCTAAAGTTTGTGAAAATTGCAAGACATTTGTTTGAAACCGTGCCGGCCTGGAAAACAAAACCGCATGTTTTCAAAATTGTTAGGAGTAATATCAAAATTGAGTGGTGTGCAGACTGCAACATGCAAAACCTTTTAAAAGTTGAACATAGGTTTGCATTTTCAATCATATATATATACATGCGGCCTGTACTTGATTGGCTGTAGTTGTGTTATGCTCAGTGGTTCCCCGCAAGGAAAAGAGTTATCTGATAAATGTCATAAAACCACACTGGTCTAACCGACCTGACCTCAACCTAACCAAGTAGTTTTCTTTGGCTAAGGTTAAGCAGTAGCCATGCTGTCTATGAGAAACATTGACCATATAATATTGTTTATCTTAATTGAGGACTCCAGCCTCCAATATGGGGCAGACTTTTGAGTCACCAGAACTAGGATGGCATTTAAAAAGTGCAGGTCTCAAGGAAAGTGATCCATTTACCTCCCATTTCCCGAGTTGGGACGTGTATTCTTCTAAATGCAGGTGTTTATGAGAACATGTGTTGTATGTCTTTGCTCAGAGTGTTTGAAAGCAAATTGAAAGTTGTTACCAAGTTTTTGTTACAACGTTCGGAGGAGTTTGTGTGAATTCTTACAATTGGAAAGGTTTTCCCACAGACACACAAAGCGATAACTAGCCTCCTAGGCAGAGATAATAAGACCTTAAATGTCAGTGAAGTCCTTGTGTGTTATTTGTGCATACTAGCAAGAAAGAATTGCATCACCATGTGGAACACACTTTGGCAATGCACCACTTCCTGTGTTTTCTAGTGCTGCTTCAAACATGCACATACCACGCTAGATTCTGTCAGTTCAGCAATACTTTGTATTAGCGTCATGCCAAAAGGCCTCTAATAAATGTTGGGGAGTTCACAGCCTTCACAGCATCTTTTAATCCTTTCCTCCCCCAACTTGGAAACATGCCATCAAGGGCCGTTGAGTTGAAACACTGCTCCCCTGACCCATTTTTAAACTACTCCACCCTCGTCTAAATTGCTAAATCACAGGATGATGACTGAGATTATTGCAACAAGTTTAACCAAGTGTATGAATACCTATTTGAATTGGGGGTCTGTTTTATTTCCTTTTGCACGTTTATATTTGTGAAATATAAAAGCCCAATCTGCAGTGCATGCTCCTTCATCAGTTTGTCAGGGTGCCAAATGGTAGCATGTCTCTTTGATTGAAGTTTGTCCCTGCAGATACAATCGCTCTACTCCCAGACTTCCTGCTTGTCCTGATAAGACTAGGATCCTAAGTCAGCACTTTTTTGCTGTGCTGTAGATTTTAGTAGCATGCTCAGAAGCATTTCTGAACAATAAAACATACATTATTGGTACTCTAACACCAAGTAATGATATTTGATTCTCTCATTTGACTAATCCTTCTTTATTAAGGGAAGCTTCACTGAGATCCACGCTCCCTTTTACAGGAACACCCTAAACACTCAGAGAGTAACACACAGACCTGTTTTAGATTAGTCCTGGAGCAAATCAAATACATTTGTCACCACATGAAATACTTAACACACTTAAACACTGCTAATCCACCACTGACACAATGTTGTCAAAGTGCAGTTTAACTTTTCCTTTACCCTCGAGCTGTGTGACCTTGTCTTTAGGGCAGCAGGGAGGAGAACGAGGTGTCATGAAAGATGAGCCTCCGAATGGTCAAACCCCTCTGTTTTATGTTCTCCGCACATACATTGAATTGTAATTATTGCTTTAATAACCTCTTTGTCGTAACATCAAGGGCATATTTTACTCACTGTGTTCGTACAGACTTATCGAAAAGGGAGAAGGGCCGAGGGCTACAGGTTGACACAGTTTCCATGTTTTGTTCTTTTATTCCAGCTGAAACAAGGAAGGAAAGAAGGTTTGCTTGAATACCACATGGAAAGATATACAAGGATCAATAAAGGACAGAAAAGCAGGAATTCAATCGGGAAAGATCATTTTTCTCTAAGTAAAATAAATCTTACAATGCCAGCACAATTCATCCATTCTACTGGACTTACCCTCTAGAATCATGCAACAAGACTCCTTATTGGACTTGTTGACATATTTGGATTTAGTACGTTTAATTGTTTCATCTTTTCTTGCCCGTTGCTCCTAGTGCATACCTGACACATTTTTTCTGAACCTAGATCTTTTATATTTGAGGATCTTTTCCATTACTCATATTGGCCTGGACACAGTTACTGTCACATTGGTGATTCTTCTGCATTTGAAAAATGTCTTGCCAAGTAGATATGTAGAAAGACTAAGCTCCTGTGAACGTTTGTGTGTTCTAACAGCTGAAGTGGCTGCTATACAACACAGACTTATCAGCACAATTATCCAGCATGTGGCTGGTGTTAATGTCCAACTGTGGTTGTGGTGCATAGCACAAATACTGGACAGTATTTTACTCCCCAGCACACAATCTGCTGCCACTGACGAGCTGCAAACTAACTGTTGTTTTCTCGTTTCAGGTCCGGAAGTGTCGCTAATGACTGGGTCGAGATCTACTCGTTCGTGAAGAACCTCACCGACAGATTTGTGAGGTCAGTACAAAGCTAGTGTTGATGTCAGGCATTGTCTTTGGAAACAAAGTTTTAGGGTTTCATAATGCTCGCAGAAGTGAATTATGCTCCATAGAATAAGATTCATGGTTTCAAATAAATATAAAAAAAGCCATTAAAATGTTTAATGTTAGAATAATTTTCATAGAGAAAACAAAATTCACTATTTTATAAAGATGACGTAGTAGGTCAACCATACCCTCCGTACCAAAATACCACATTTTTTGCATGTTTAATATATTAAATGATCTTTTGCAGTTAATGGCTATAATTACAGAGCCTACGACATTAGTTGCATCTCCCACCTGTTTTTACAAACTATCAAATAGCTAAATCTATGACACCCTTTTTGCACATAATTAATTAAAAAGACGAAAGCAGAGAAACCAGCTTGAAACGTTCGGCTTGCATAACGTTCGAGTCAAACGGCGCCTGCCAGCACAGTACAGACGGCGGCGACCCAGCCAGAATGAAGTGGTTGGTTGAAGAAAATAGCAAAGGCACCAGGTGGGAGTGGGTGGCAGAGAGGAGCAGTCTTCTGGGCTGTGAGAATGGCCATTCGCACCGGGGGGGGTCCGGCTCCACACTTATCCCCTGCTTCCACCACAGAACGGCTGACAGGCAGACAATGTACAGTAAAGCAAAAGAACACTGGAAGGCGACGAGGACAATCTGCTAAACAATGCTCGCTCACCAAGAGCTCTTCTGTCGCGCCATGTGGAGCAAACTGGACTACTTCATCAACCCCCTCCCCCACCACCACCACCCTCTGATATGTCCTTGGCATCACTGCGTCTTAGTCTTTCTATACTGCTTCAGCGGTAACGTATACAATCACAATCCCCACCGAAAGCCTTAAGTCACCACCCACCATGTATCCTGGTCTCGAGCTACTTTTAAGTCCACATATGAAACTTGCAGACAGGATGTGGATGTATACGGCTGCTACCGCCACCAGCCAAATGTGGCCGTGTGGCTTAAAGATTGTGCTAGGTTTGCGGGGGAGGATCGCGACTGGGCCATGTGTCACGTGGGTGAGAAATATCAGCACCTCTCCTTATGCTCCGAAGGCTTCGGATCTCTGAAGGAAACACTTGTGTGCTTAACTATCTGAAGTTTAGCTCGCTCCGTGGGATGGAATCCGTGTGGTTGGTACAGTCACAGGAAGTAACTCTGACTACATCTCCCAAGTCTTATAGCTTTAGAATATTAATACTTTATGGGAATCGGGGACGTTTTTTTAAGAAAACATTTGACTATTTCACCTACATTTTAAAGGTTACTGATTGCATGCAGGATTTTAAATAGAGATGCTTAGATCCTACTTTTTCTTTTCAAATTCCATTTCTGAAATCAGATTGAGTCTTTCTTGTTCCTATGTGTAAAAAATTAATTCAACTCTAACTTTTGTTGTTGTATTAGTTTTCAAATTGCGCTGTTTTGTAAACGATAGCAACTAAGAGAAAGTAAATGTATGTATTTCACATCCGTACTTTACTCAACCCATTATATAATGTCGTTATAGTTTCTAATTTGATATTCATTGTTAGATAAGTTGATGCATGCTGTTGCGCGATAACAATATTTTATTATGAGATGTTAAAAAAAATTGTCTTGTCAGCGTGATGTGAAGAGCAAGATTGAATTCTTCAGGCCATTATGCATGCTCAGAATTAAGTTCATTTCAATTATTTTATTCATATCTGCATGCAGACTTGGTGAGAAAAAGAGTCCCTCTCCAAGATGGACAAACATGTATTAAAGCCTTAGATGCATTGAGAACAGCTCACAGAGACTGAAAAGACAAGCATATAATCACAATGTAGAGAAATAAGATTACAATATTAGTAAGATTAATAAAAAGTGTTGCACAAAGTTTTGAAAACATTTGATCTCCTTTGTATATAACTCATATTTTGCATTTTAGTCTATATCTTAATAAGGCAACAATAAAACCTTTATGTTAGGAAAATAATTGAAGACATGCATCCCTGAAGGCTTATTTATTATGTTAAATATAAAATACTTTTGTTGAGGAGCATGTCATATTGCTTGGATAAATAAAAAGAACCTCAGGTCTTATGTCGCCACCACTATTGAAAATGTTTAAACAACTGCCTGCCAAACAAGGAGACAAATAATGGCAACACTTAAAATGTGGACAGTTTGGGGTACTTTAAGATTCTGAGTTACCTTTACGATTTAAGTACTTTTGGTACCTGTTCTTGAATGTACTTCAGTAAAATCACAGGAATTGTATTTGTATTGAAATATTTTTCCTTTGTGGCATTACAGCTCTAACTAGAGTGAAGTATTTGACTGGTTTGTAACCATTTTTGTAATTGTCAATACCAGCAAGTACATTTGTGCAGTGGGACTTGTACATTTTCCTTCACTTTTTTGTTGATTTAAATGTTCACAGCAGGATGCATATATGTGTATAGTTTTCTGAGGCAGTGAGTGTGCTGTTATATAACAGAGGGAGTGATACTGAATGTAAACAGCCTCTGTGGTCAGGGACACATCGGAGTGTCCAGTGACAGTTCACACCTTAAACACTCACAGGTACAAAGTACACTATATCTGTGTAACAGGATGTGTGTTCGAGTGTTTACGTGTGACTCATCCTCACAACATGTTTACTGTCTGTGAATTGATTAATCACTTCCTTCAGTCCCACTGAAGCTGCTTTAAGTCATACATTAATATTAGTTGACATTAAAAAAGCTGTTTACTTAATTATACTCATCTGTTTAATTCTCCTGAACTGAGCTGAACCTCTATGAAGTTATATATAAAACTGTCAGTCACACTGACTCCTAAAACAGTGTTTTACATGTCATACTGTGTGGGGGGTGGATGAAGAAGATGAAGGGCGGATATGATAAGGAAGAGAAAATCTGAATAAATATTACAACATTATAATATACTGTCCATATATTTTGATAAAACATGACATTTCTGATTCCTTTCCTGTTTTGTTTTTCAGCCCCAGAACGAGAGTCTCGTTCATCGTGTTCTCGGCCAGAGCAGAAGTCCTGCTGCCTCTGACCGGAGACGGGTACTGAACCCTAACACACACAATTCTGTTTCAATGGTTACTGTACCTTAACTCTAAGAAGTCTCATGGCCTAAATACTGTATTGTTGATAAATAGTAACGGTGATAACGGTAATAACAAAGTCTAGTCTTTCGCCTAAATTAGGTATACGACTACTGTTTGTATGTGCAAGTTTAGTACCAGAACAAAAGTTTATTGCTACATATTATCGGGAGGTTCAGTTGATTTGGGTTTTCAATAACTTATTTTCTTGCGGGAAATGTTTGCATGATTGAGGTGAGAGATTTGCCTTGGGCCTCAAAAGGCCAAACTGGATAGTGTTGTGGACTATTAGTCAACCATTTATTATTTTGTGTGTTTTTTAGATACGAGATAGAAAATGGTCTGAAACGCTTGCGGGCCGTTATGCCAGCAGGTGAAACGTATATGCATGAGGGAATAAAAGAGGTAAGGTTACTTTCTAAAATAAACGCAATTACGGCTCAGAAGCTTTTTTTGTAAATATACTTGTGAGCATGTGATGTAACGTTTGGTGTCATTTGAACCTGAAGGCCTCAGTTCAGATACAGGCGCAGAAGACCAAGTCTTCCAGCATCATCCTGGCTCTGACTGACGGGAAACTGGAAACCTACATTCACGAGCTCACAGTGAAAGAGGTTAGGTTCACATTGTCTAACACAAATCTTGCTTTACACATTTTAAAATGCTATGCTTTTTTTACCTGCAAACAGAGTTAGCTTTTCTAAAATAAAAAAAAAACACCCTTTTGTTATTTATATGTGAAATATATGTGGCTTTTTTTTCTGAATGTGATGAGGATCTGGCATTTCAAAATGTTTTGTTACATCCAACCTGTTGCACATCATCCCCTCATTTGTTTGATCCTCAGGCTGACAAGGCGAGGACATTCGGAGCCCGTGTTTACTGTGTGGGTATCAAGGACTTCGATGAGCAGCAGGTAAGAAAGCTTGAGTCTTAATCTGAAGCAGTGTGCGCTAAATCACATTTAAAAGCGAGAGACATCTTGCCATGTTGGAAGAGTGTCAAGAAAGGTAAACACAAGTATTGTGAGCGCTATTACCTGTAATGAAAATCCATGTCTTAAAGTAATATCAATACAAACTCTAGTAAACAACTCCTGCAGCATAATCCACTTTTCAGATGCTCGTCTGTCGTTGGTTTAGCTCCACGTAGTCATTTCTTTTGTTTGAATAATGTGAAATATTCTGCTTCAAGTAGAATTCTCGAGTTCCCTTGACATCACTCTCTGTATATTTAGACATTTCGTCACTGTTAATGATTTATTTATTTTTGAATTGACTTTATTAGCTAGATAATATATTGGCTTGATAATCTAGAGTGCTGTAACCATTCGGCTACTGTGGTGCTCCATTATTAAAGACAAAAAGCAATAGGTCAAACTAAATTGTGATGATGTGCAACAGGTTCAATGACAACAAATGACCATATGTTACTGATATTGCACAAAGTGAACTCATAAACTGAATTAAACGGTGGGTGTTACCTTTAGAATTCCAACAATCTATGAACCATTGTGGAACCATGAACAAAGAAAATCAATCTGATCATTCTTTACCAATTTCTTTCAGGATTTTCAAATACATAACAAAACTCATAATGTATGTGTAAATATATTATCGGGTTATATATTTGCAGTATATACCAGTCATATCAGTTATAGACCGTTTGCACTATTCACACTGTTCAACACATTGAATTGGCCACAGAAAAAAAAATGTCCACAGCATATAATCTTCACTGATTTCAGTCTGCACCAAAGTCAGTGCTATCTGCCGTTTTACTGTCCCTCTCGCAACATGGTGGCCTGTCCCTTGGTAACCATTGGTAACAATCCTGTGATGAGCTCTTATTAAGTCAAATAACAAAGACAATATTGCTCCAAGTTTGTGTTGAAGTGATTTTTTTTTTTTTTAATGGTTGAGCAAAGTGTTTGCCACAGTCATGCCATCTGCTATGTCTCCTCCTGCCCATGATATGAAAGGAAAGACAGTGCTCCGTCATAAAGAGGATAAGAGAAAAAGAAGAAAGCCGTTATCACATCTCTTCTTGTTAATTCAACTCTTGATGATACCAACAGCTTGCTGATGTAGCGGACACCAAGGACCAAGTGTTTCCTGTCAAAGATGGCTTCCAGGCACTCAAAGGCATCGTCAATTCTGTAAGTGCGCCTACTTTCTGTTTTTGTGTATGTGGTCCTGGACGGCAGTCGGCTCAGGTTTATGTAAATGTTTGAAAAATAGGTGGAATTTAACACTAATGTCCAAAATGGGAAATTGTTAAAATAAAAAAACATATAAGTGTTCAGAAAAATTCCCTGCCCTGGCTTCATTGAAGTTTGCACACATTAAAGCAGAACCTCTGCATGGAAACTGTTTGTGGAAATAACTGCTGGCTGTGTCTCCACTTTGTAGGCGGAAATGGAAATGTCTTTGCCACTCTGTAGCAAATGAAGACATGCAAGCAGCTTGACAGTTAGTCACTGTCCACAGTGCCATCCTCCTCACCGTGTCTTTATTGTGTTTAGTACACTATTGCTTTTATTTCTGAAAATAAAAGCCAGCGTAAGGTATCAACCCCATCTTGCTGTATCAGTCAATAGAGTCCCTTAAACAGTGTTTATATGAAGTTTCCCTCCTCGCCCGCTGCTAGCCAATTAGTGATACTTTCCATTTGCTGCCGCTTTTTGAGCCGAAACGCTGTCAGCCAAGGCGGGGGTTTGTATGGCATCATTTCTACATGACTGTGAGCCCGGAGCACTGCGGAGCGCACCGACCTGAGCTGGACTTTACATCTCTGTGTTTAGAGAAAGACCAAACTGTGAGACTTGCAGCCGGAGGGACGCAGAGCCAAAGGGTGTGTCTTGTTTCTGTTGTGTGATCCAAAGTAAAAACAACTATGATTGATTTTGCACAGCCTGACTACAGAGTGAAAGAAGGTTGTCTAAAACTGTGGCTCTCATTCCCCCAAAAATGTGGGACCATGCACTTTAATTCAGAATATGCCAAATACTTATTCCTTCTCCTTATATTTATCTTAAATTATTTTAACAACAAAAACATGAGGTAAAGTGCATGTATAATTATTTTATATAGTATATATTTTATATTTTCATTTGATCGTCCATGTTTTGGTTCTTGAATCAGGAATTAAGTCTTAATAAAGTCCTTGAAACAGTGGTTTAAAAAAGGCAACACTGATACCTTCAAATAGGTATAATGTTAGTTAGATAATTATACAGCATTAGTAACCATGACTCGCACTAGTCCTGACTTATAACATCATCTCTAAGGAGCATGTGAATCCATCCTGTAACATTACAAAGTGTTGAAAGCCTCTGAAAGGGTGGATTTGATTATCTATACTGTAAATGGGAGAAATATGCTTTCAATCTGTTTTTGCTGAGTTAAGGGAATCCTCTTTTTTTCATTTTAAGAGCATGCACAGGGTCACAAGGTCGTCCTTTTGCATCAAAGCCATTTACATATATTTTAGTCTTTCCAAAAAATGATTACAGCCTGTACAAAATGGTCCTGCACAACAAAATAAAGCTCATCCCGTCAGTCCTTCGGAGGCTCACAGTGCCAGCATCCAAGTGCATTCTTCTCTGATTAGTAATACTGGATTCCTGACTAGTTGGCCTCCTCACTCCTCTTTTTGGATTTGGAGGATTTGAGATCATCTGTGCAGCCTTTTGCTGCAGGGTCTGCCTCAGTGACCGGCGTGATAAAACGCACAGAGAGAGTTCAGGAAAGTTGTGTTCCTGCGCCGTTTATTTGTCCTCTGTGCTTCACTGGACCACTGTTGTCTAAGCTGTGGGCCTTTTGGGAAAACTCCAAATTGCGAAGTAGCCATGACGTTATCGTTTACTTCAGCTGCGATCTGTACAGTGTCGCCAACTCCAACATGCATTCCTGTTTGACATTGGATTACCCTTCCACCTAATTATGTCCGCTAAAAGACCGGTCTCACGCTTTCAGAAAGCCCAGCAGTTACGCTGTCGTAGATATACAAATTAATTAGAGTATTTGGCCGACTGCCTTGTCTCCCCGCTGCAGCCTGTAAATAATGTTTGTTGCTAGATCCAAGAAAAATGAAAAGCTGCTGTTTGAGTTCTAATGCCTCTAATCTCCACTGCTAAAGCTTTTAATATATGTATCTCCAAAATGCTTAGGTCCTTCAACCCTGATGGATTACTTAATACAACCATAAATCTTTAAAAAGCCTTACATTTTAAAGGAAATGTTACTCTTCCAAATTCCCTATTCAGAGCAACATTTCTACACCTAGATGTCATTCTTTGAGTCCCTCCTTCATTTTAAGCAAAGGCACGCAAACGCTCCTTTTTTCTCTCCTCCCCTTTTTGCTCGGGCACTGCCAAGGAAGTAATTAGACGGGGAAAATAGTGGCTCAGAGGAACAGCAGCAGATCCTTTTCCTCCCAGCTGTCATCTGCAAGCCTCTCCCCTTTTCTCGATCCCATATCAAACCATCATATTTAATAAGGCCGCTGTAAACAGTCCCGTCTTCCTCTCCTTAGATTGAAGTTTCACCCAACATCAAATGAAAGGTTCAAGTATCCTGTATTGCAGTTAATATGCTTCTTTTTACCGACTGTGTACTGGGATTTGCATAGTTTGTCCTTTGTTGATTTATTGAATCACGGCGGATAGTGCGGCTCCATGACAGTGGGCTCACACAGGCCTCTTTATATGATAATGCGGGATCCCGGAGGTTTTTTAATAGATCTGAGAAATGTAATAGTCTTGCATAATTTTCCCATAAAGGCTGACACAGCTGCCGTTCTTCCCTCCTGTTCTCCTCGCCGCCGATATTTAGCGCTCTCCTTTAGACGCCAGGCCCCGATCAGGAGCGAGACATTTCTCAGGTGTTGCACCCTAATCTGTTTTCTAAACTTGACAGAGCCGATAACAGCCAGGACTTGATGTATTTATTCTTGGCCCTCAAGCGATAATGTACCCATTTCCTTTTTCCCCTCATCCTCCAGATATTAAAGCGTTCGTGCACAGAGATCCTGAGTGTGGAGCCCTCCAGTGTCTGTGTGAACGGTGAGTGGACCCTCCTGCTGCACTGTGCACACATCGTGCTTTCCAGGCTCGTGGTTACTTCTTGCTTGGATCAATCACTAAGGGCAGTATAGGACACTTGCATAACCTCAGATCTTTTAAATCAAGGCACATTTTGCATTCTTTTATCACTTTAACACATCCCTTTACAGGTTGGTCCACTTAAATCGGTGGCTATCAACCTTTGCTCCTCCTCTGAACATGAGTTTTGAATTCATCCCGTCAAAATATTTAATTTCATTGGGCTTTGGTGGCCTGAACTCATGAAAGTATCTTGTATTTCACATGGAAAAACTGAGGTGAGAGTAAAGTCAGAAAGAAAAGTTTTGGATCGAAAATCTATTCTTTCTTACAAATGCATCCTGTGACCCTTATTAATCCCCCTCTATTAATTGGGTGAGACCCCTGGGTTGTGAACATCTGGTGTAAATAACATATGTGATCATTGAACTCGCAGAAGAGACACTGTCAAGTGTCCAGCTGTGCAACACACAACATAAACTACAGAAGTTACATAGAGTTCGAACATGATTCTGCATGGTCCTGCCAGCTGTCTGAAAGCTTTGATTTGTCTTTTGATTGGCCATCATTCAGACTCCCACGGTGCTCATTTTGTTATTTTTCTCGTGAAACTTTAAAGTGGCCCTTTTTATGCTTTTTGTGGTTTTCCCTTTCCTTTAGTGTGTTTTTAAAGGTTTTAATGCATGTAAATGGTCTGCAAAGGATCACATTCCAAAGCTCCCTCCAGAGGGAGTTTCTCTTTTTGAACATTAAATGATGTAACGAGTAACAGTAAATGTACAATATACACATATGAAACCTGAAAATGAACAAAATAGGGCCCACTTTAACATAGTGTGAGTTGGTAAAAAGGATAAAAGGATAAAGCAGGAACTAGTCTGCATTCCAAGGCTCTGTAAATAACTTCTTACTTAATAATTGTTACAAAATAAAATGTGCAAAGAAAAGTATAGTGATAACACAGCTGCTGTTGGTTTACATCAGCATCAGTATTCTGCACTGCACCGCACTGCGACTGCATTATTTACATATATTCTATACATGCTTCCTCCACCCATTCTTATCTTCCATTTACTTGCATCCACAGAGTCCTTCGACATCGTCCTCAGAGGGAACGGCTTCACTCTCGGCCGCAGCAACGAAGGCGTCCTCTGCAGCTTTATAGTCAACCAGCAAACCTTCGGTAAGTTGTGGAAATCACCAATTGATATAGTACATGTTGCATTCACAGTCACATGCACAGCACAGTCTTAACCACAGGGCTCCGTAATGAGCAGGCTCTTCATGCTGTGTGATCTGATATGTTTTAATCACTATGAAAGCAAACTAAATGTGGAGTCACATAATACATTCTGTAGGTTTACACATACGAAGAATTTGCTTTGGTGTAAATGGTGCATAAAAGACACAGAAAGAAGAATACATTTTTTTAAGAAAGGAGCCAAAAAATGTATTATTATAAAGACTATTGTAACCAATTACAAATAAAGACTATATATAGTACTTGTCAAATTGTATTTTACTGTGCTCAGTTTCTTACGTGTATATTTGTAATTATTAATCATTTATTTAATTGATATAATATCAACACTGCTGTGAGGTCGTAAGATACAAGCAGACATTTGATGAAACGGCCCGGTGTGATCTAAATTTGGACCTTCATTTAAAAATGTCAGTTTTTTTTAAACGACAGCAGACCACGATTGCAACACATGCAAATCATTGGTAACAAAGCGGATTGTCACACAGTCCACAGTTTGCCTTTGGCCATGCTGTCTACAGCAACTCCGTTTAAGGATTCATTGCTACTTAATGTTTTGAACAACAAAATCATTAGCGCAGTTGGAATGTCATGCAATCCCGAAAGAAAATGCTTTGCGAGGCATTTTTATATACATATTTTATGAAAAAGCACCTTTTTTTTTTAATCAATATATTTAGCAGTTTCAAGCAATTTGGGTGACAAGAACCTATTGATGTTTTTTTTTAATTATTATTAGTTTCTAGCAAAATAGAGTAGCAAAAATAGATATCTGTTAGGGGTCTCGTGATCATGATGTAACGGCTTAATAAAAAGCCTCTTGGAGGTTTATTGTAAACCCAACTGGAAGTCTGCCATTTTGCCTTTACTTTGCAATTTATGGCAATTTCCGCCACTTCCAGGATCTGTACCTTAACAAACTCCAGTCCTATGTGACATTTAGTCCAATCGATAATAAATGTGGTCAGTATAATCTGAAGACCTTGGCGATGAAAGGTGATGTTTGAAGTGCCATGTAAGACCTGCTTGTATTGTCTAATTATATCTAAATATTCATGGATTTCAACACTTTCTAACCTTTTCTGAAGCCTACGACCACGTTTCATAGTTGGAAGGTGAACTTAAAGAAAGCTTATTACACAAAGCAGTTTAAAGAACATCTTCACAATTCTTGCATGGGACCATCCAAGGAGCACTTGAATGCACCATTGGTCTTACCTGAGGCCTATGCTGTCGGAGGGCCATTGTGGTTCATTTTATAATGCGTATTAACCAACATCCTATATGAGTGCAGTCAGACCTGTGGGCTGTTCAGTCTCCCTCCACATCTTCCTGTCACCAGAACAAACCCGACCAACTGCTATCTCTTAGCAGCTCCCCACCTTTATGATCAGAGCTAACGAGCGGAGGCTATGTAGGTCACTGTGCTCCTTATTTTGAGTTCGCAGTCTGTTCTGTCGAGAAATCCTTTTTCAAGAAGCAAACGGGATTTGGCACCGACAGCCAATCTCTCATTTGGCCGTGGGATCTGCGGGATCGACGACTGCCAATGACAACACTTCCCTCCTTGACGGGCTATTTTTGATTTCCATCTCAACTTGACTATAAAACACTAAAAAATAACTCCATCCGAATGAGTAAGTGGCCATTAGCAGATGTCTTCTTGTTGGTCCTTTCTCAGTTTAGGCTGTCTCACATTCGCCCACTTGGGGCTATTAATTCCCTTATTGGCTTTTGCATGTGTTCAGCACAGACCTTTGCAACAGGGGGGCACCTTATAATTATGGACAGGCATCATGGCAACTATGGAACACACACAGCACATATGTGGAACAGATGCTACAGTCTTCTCCATCAGCAAACCAGCGGGAGCCCCGAGAAAACGAGCACGAAAAAATGATATCAATCATGTTAGCGACCTCCATCAGACACACACACACACACACACACACACACACACACACACACACACACACACAAAATAATCAAATTGGTCATATGAAATAATATGTTCCTGACTGATTAAAGATTACATTTGATAAACATTGTAATACACGGAGTTTTCATAATCATTGTGTAATATTGCTTATAATTGTTTTTTATTTATATTAAAGGGATGTTAATCAACAGACACTAAAAATCTAATTAATATACAACAAAAATCGTTTGTTTTGTTGAGATCTACAAATCTGTGATGCCAAGATTTTATTTTGTGCCGTTCACAATATATGACCTTTTTAATATAAATAAAGCACAGTCCCTAATGCTGCTGTAACTTCTTTGCTCTTTCTCGGATGCAGTGCTCATTGCGAACAGATTTTGACACATTGTCTTTTTTTCTTCTGTTGTTCCTACAGACCAAAAGCCCAGTTATGTGCGTAATGACTATCTGCTGTGTCCTGCTCCGGTGCTCTATGAAGTGGGACAGTAAGTACAGATTTCTGTTTTGGGAAGAGCTGGAGGAGCTTGTTAGTGTTACATATGCTGCAAATATCTACTCTTTTTTTTCTGATTTTAATTTGTTTTATATGCACCTACAGTGTATGACAGACCAAACTTTCAGTTTTTTTTCTTTTCTGTCCTTCAGACAAATATTGCTAATGAGTGGGAAAACAATATAAACATTTTAAAGAAGCAAATTAGACAAAACAATTGATAAATGACTGGATGTATACACATAGTCTCTTAAATTAAGTTTTCCAGAATAACTTTATAGTTGGTGTGCGTGTTGTGTTTCTGTAGATTTATTTTAAGTGCTGATCTTGGCACGTGGTCAACATGAAAGGTGTGAAATTCTAAAGAAAGGCATCTCACTGCCATTTATAAACTGGACCGTCAAACAACATTTAAAATGTGAAATAAATATATACATTTCTATCTTGCCATTGAAAATGAACAAAACAAAGCAGTATTGTGTTTAGTAAAGGTCTACACTTGGTGTCAAGTTTTCAGCTGCATCTAGAAATCACACAAACGGCTACTTCCTCTCTACTTTTGTCAGAACAATTTCAAAACACTTTTATTTCCTCTTTTCTGCAGGCTTGTAGATATCTTTGTGCTGCTCTTTGTTTAGTTTAGGAGCTGTTATATCTGATATTTAAGTACGACGCTTCAACGTTACTACATGCAGTTTTTTTCTTCTGTGCACATAAACAACTCCTAAATCTATAGATTAGCAGTATGTTAAAACAGTAGAAGTAGGGATGAAGACTTTGTTGTAGCGTCAAGACGCAGTAAACATTGTAGACGGGAGCCGACAGAAAAACACCCCATACATACAACGCACAAAGATTGAAGTGAAAACAGTGTAAATATGCATTTATTCCTGGCTGCATCGCTATTGTTTGATTTTAACGTCATCTCTTATAATCCCAAACCATAACAGATGATCGCTAAGGCATTCTAGATGGAACAACAGATTTTAATGTCCTCGATGACTCCAATCCAATCAAAAATGTATGATTATGAGTGCTGCTGGCTCCTGAAGGTCTTTCAGCTCTAAAACAGATTATGTATCATATGATGAGGGCGATGCTGTAACCACTCCAAATCAACTTGAACCTCACCTCAGATAATCCTCCCATTTTAATGTATAAACTGCTCATGATAACATGTTTTCCTGCCAGATGCTGACCGGCGGTGCCGAAAGAGTTTTTTGAAGGGATATAAAACACCAAGTTAGATGTGCATTCATGTCTTTATTAGTTTTTTGTGTTTGTTTTGGATATAACAAAACGGTCTTGCAGATGTGTACTCAGTTATTATCTTCAACAAGCACTTGAACACCGAAAAAGTTTTGCAAAAATCAATACATTATACACAATAATACAAATTAAGTCAATGAATAAGGCACATTAAATAGGACCCGTATAAATTACAAGAAAGAAAAGTTACTGTGCAGTGTAATCAATTAATGATTAATTCAAGAAAAGGCAGCGGCAAACGGAAAAGTCTTGAGGCTTGATTTAAACATAAAAGAGTTTTTATCCACTTTCTTGGAGAGAAGGCCACATGCATTTTGGTTCTGATTTGCTAACATTTCAAAACAATACCTACTTCAGACCAAGAGGTATGTCTCTCTTTTTTTTAAAAAAGCGTGTCACTGCATCTTCTCTCTCCGGTGAAAAGCAATACTATATTTGACACTTTCTCCAGCTGGCATCACTTTCAGATAAAAAGGGAAATGCATACTATTCACTGGAATTACAGTGGCAGCCACTGAACATGTCCTTCTTCTTGCTTTATCCAGAAATCAGGAAAGCAAAACAGAATCTGATATCTTTCAATCAACTCGACAAAGAAGCGTTGAAAAGAAACATAAGGGACTACATCTGAAAGCCACAGTCCTACAGCTTCTGCTGCGACCTGATAAGACCTAAGCTGATGCCGATGCTATGTACACGCCATTTGCAAAAGGCCTGCTTAATTAACTCTTGGCTGCCGATGGTGACCCATTAAGTAGTTAGCTGGTACGGGCGGTGAGTAAACACATCTGCTGGAGGGGCTTTAAAAGGATGTGTGACAGATGTAGCCATTCCCTTTTCCACGCTCTCCATTTAAATAATTCACCATGCACTGACAATCCCCGCACCCAGGACCACCTGCATGGAACAGCGGAGCCCGGGAACTTCCGACTCTGTCCATCTGTCTGCTTCTGCTCCATCACCGCTACCGGTGCACAGGGCGCTCCGTAAGCACGGCTCTACTCAGCCGAAGAAGAATCGTCTTTTCACTGCACATCGCGTCAACCAGTATCCCCTCTTAAACCATGTTTTGTTACACGCAAGGCTTTGTCCTGGGGAAACATTGCTTTAACTTCTGACTTGACCTCAAAAACGTGGTCGCTGGGGAACATATTTCAGATGCAGCAGTCACTCGCTCTGAGGTGCTCAGCGGCAGCTTCCCGTTCCACTGGGAACGTGAAGCAGGCGGTTCCACATTCTGCTTGGAAGTCCAGGAATCACAGCATCCTCAGTTGGTCATCTAACTGTGTAGGAGCACTCACTGCGGAGGCATCATCTGTCCTGACAGCTGCGGCATCAGGCAAGAAATGCTGGCATCTGCTGAATCCCTTCCTTCCCCGCTCCCTCCCCCCTCAGTGTATCCCCATTAGGAGACCCAGCATCCCCTGCTGGGCCGTCGATCGAGAGGTTAAGTGGCTGCGCTCTTGCATCAGCATGTCCTCACCTGGTGTTTTCACAATAACGGTGGAGAGCATAAAATAACTGAGGGGGGAGTCGACACCTGCTTTACATAGCAGGTACAGTAGCTAATGCTAATGCTCGTCAATAATTAAACAGGCTGTCCTGGGGCTGCTGCTGCTAGCAGTGGCTTCACTCCATCTGCTCCAGTGGGGCTATGAAGATGTCCTGTTGTTTGATTGTCCTCCGTGTTGTGGGACACAGACATGTTGAATGGGAATTGATTGCCATATAATAAGATTGGAACCAGTTCTATTTGATTAAAGGATGCAAGCGGCAACGTTTAACCTCAGACTTATTATGTCTGATGATTCAAGGCTTTCTCGGTACTGGAATCAAAAAGAGAAATAAACATTCAATTAAAAAAATTCTGCAAATTAGACTTAGGGCGGGTTGAAAACTAAAGGTTGGGTTCCTGATTGGAACCGATGCCAATTGTTCTGGTTTGCATTCACAAAGATATAACTCCAGTTGTCCAGGAATTGTAAACAAAATCATGTAGTGGAAATGTTGTTTGACTATGGGTTATACAATAGGCTCCGCATAGGACTCAGAAGCTGCCTCGTTGCGTGTGATGAACTTACTTACCCTGTGACAAGAGCATGTGGATGAAGCAAATTTGACTTAATGAGCAACTTGTTCCTTGGCTGACTGTTTAACTGGGCTCAACATGCTGGTGTAAAAACACCCTCAGGAAAAGTTTTAGTAGAAGAAAAATCACTGGATCTAACCGCAGCGGACATCAAGTTTTTCAATTATTGTCATATTGTTTTTTGGAAATTCAAAAATATTCCCAACAAAAGTAAAAGCTTTGTGGCAAAAAAAGTAGTTTTTTTTGCATCACACTGATATGGTCCTCTAAATGACCAGCTGCCTTGTCAGAAAACATCAGTCAGTTAGAGTGGATGTGTTACCATGGAACACAACTTCTCATCTGGTCCCCAGGCTTCGTGAGGTCGAGTTCCCCCCCTCCGTCAGAACTTCTGCCACACAAACTCTTTCAGAGTGATGACTGCTGGATGCAGAGTGACAGGACCTGCATATGCTCTGCCGTGAATTATTCAGCCTCCTCAATTTTCACATCTTTAAGGGAAGTTTGAAAGTCATTAGCGTCACCATTGTCAGCCGCTCCAGCTGTATCAAATCACCAAAGCTTAGCGTCACAGCAGCCTTACTTTCTGACAGATTATAGCGAGCCCTGGGACAAAGTATTTCTAACGTGGAGCAAGAGATCTGCTGAAGGAAGAATCCTTCTGCCATTCAACTGGTGTCCCTACCACGCTTTCTACCAAATGTACCATGACAATCCGCCCCTCATTTCCAATTTATTCAAACATAACTATGAAACCACCAAGCAGCTGAAGCTCTCTCCTCGGTGTCACACACTGATTTTCACCGAAGTTAAAGATAATGACGGGGAGCGTGACAAATAAATGATTCACCCGGCTCCTTTTTAAAGTCATTCAGCTGCCTTTTTCCCTTTGTTTAAACACTTGTTGACCCTCTTTATTTCCTGTCTGTGTGTACATTTCTCTATGTAACATTCACTAATGGCCCTCATCGCAGAAACAAATAATGTAACTGATAATCATCACTAGATATGCGAAGTGGACAAAAAAAGATGTAACTAACCATGTTTTTTTATCAATGTATGTCAGGGGTTTATTTTCAAGTAAGCTATCACCATTGTTTGCCATAAACTGTCAGGAGCTAATGAAGAACATCCAGTTTCTTCCTTTGTCTGACCAAAAGTAATTTTCAATGATCAAACAGATAAAATCAGAGGAGCAGGAGACATCTAATTAATGTAATTTCTTTCTTGGCGAATTCTTTTAACTATTAGATAATTATCAAAATACTCCGATTCATTTGTCGAGCGAATGACTTACCACCTTTTTTCTAATACGATGGCACAAACGGACCACTTTAGGTAGACATTGTCATCCAATTGCTAATCATTCTTTTGTTAATCTTCCTGGAACTTAAAGGGTGAGAATAAAAAGAGCATATATGACTTATGCCTCTGTGCTGGAGCAGATTCTGCCTACTCAACAGTAACTGGCTAAATTAGCACTCAGCGTCTCAGGGAGGGAGAAAAAAGGCCTCGCCAACTATGGTTGGGTTGTGGTGCGTTAAGGATGTCCAGCGATGTCAGGCGAGGTGGGGGTTTGTTCGTCAGTGTAACTCGCTTGGGAGCCTTCTTCCTTCACACGGCGAGGTCCACACCTCCAGCTTGATTAACAACCTGCCCACCATTATCACGGATTGAGGGTGTCAGCTAAATTAGCCTCTCCCCTCACCCATTCAGCACAAGCACTTAGTTAACATGCAAGGACCTGCAGCGTTCTTCTTTAATGTACATCCACACCTCAACAGAAAGGTAGAAACAGCGCACTTTGAGCATATCATAGTTTGTAGAATAAACCGATGTAATCATTTCTGTTTAAGAATTAATACAAATTCCATCATAACCTTTACTAAACGTTCAATACAGTTTGTATTAAAAACTCATACTAACTACCTCTCTATAACCATTGATACTAATTGTCTTCTACTTGCATTATTTGAGCCTGCACTTTGTATATTGTCTGTTTTAAAAAAAAAAAAAAAAAATCTAAAAAACAATCTACATTGCTAAACCATTCCTTACGGTCCGTCCACACAGCGGCGTGCGTTGAAGCTTGCTCCATTCACTTGAATGGGGTGACGTCACGCTTCGCCGAACTGCATTGTGGGGAGTGTAGCTACGCGTTGCTCGCTGCAAAAGTTGAGCCATGTTCAACTTTTGAAGCTTCTGAAGCTTCGGTGGAAGCGTCAGCCAAATCCCGTGTATGCTGGGAGAGACACACCGCAGGTCATTTCCTCATATGCCAAAAAATGGAGCAAGCTTCAACGCACGCCGCTGTGTGGACGGGCCGTTAAAGAAGATTTAAATGCTACAAAAAAAATATATTGACCTCAACGACTACAGAATAGGTGATTGCATAATAGAGTAGAAAAGGGAAACTGGAGACACCAACAAGTTGTGTTAAGTGTCAGAGTTCATTCGGTTTTAAAGTTCCATGAATTGGATTTTAAATATTTATCTGGGGTAAATTAGGAAAGGTGCAAAGGAGTCACTTTAGAATATTTTGAACCCTCTGCATAGTAATGGACACATGGTCAGGTTGCTCATCTGTTCTGAACCACAGGAGAATTGGAGGCCCGAGGCACTGCCTGAGGCGAAATCCAAAGCAAAGAGCTCTCTTGTTATTATTCCGCAGCACCAGTTTTTATGCAGGCCTCCCCTGTACGCTATACACTCACAGCTGGCCCCTCACACACAATACCACTCTGCCTACTTTCTTTCTCTCCTTCTTTTTGTGTTGTGGGGAGGATTTCAGGCGTTCCATGTCCTGAATTCTCATTAAACCTGCAGTAATTGGATTGGGCGTAATAGACATATGGAAATTGCGGTGCCGTTCATCATTAGGGTTTTAATTGCGCCCATTTTGGCTTCCGCGTTTCCCCCTCTAAATAAGTCATAGGAGTTCACGAGCCTTGTTACTGCCAGTCAGGTTACTTCATCCCCTCACGCTGACGGCCGTGATAATGAGACCATTTCCTCCCTCTGAGTTTGAGCATTTACTTTGTACCCATTGTGTTCTTTACTGAGCATTGTGTTAATGTGAGCAGTGCACTCCTTTTACAGGATTTGCATGTGAAACAACACAATTTAGCGCTTTTTTTCTGTCACTGGAAGTCATATTGGACGTTTTGTAGAACCCTACCAATTCATGAGCTTGAGAAAAAAAAGAAAATCTGTTGCTAATTCATCAGCGGATGTTCGTATTGTAACTCTTTTTTTAAGTATTTGAAGCCTCTTTCTTTTACTCGAAGCCAAACAGTTTTGGCTATTACCCCTTTATATTTAATTAAAGGGTTGTGTCAAAGATATCTACTGAAAAACACCCTCTCTAAATCTATATCCAAAAAGAAAAGCATGCCTTTTTTTGGTAGATAAAAATAAAACAAGCCTAATCTATGAATTTGCATTTACCTCTTGGAGATCAGGCATGATATTTACAGTTAAAGAATAATCTTTTCTATCAAAGCAAAACTATGACCATACATTCTAACACAGCTGGAAAATAAATGATTTAAAAAAGAAAATACACCTAAAATACAACAAAAATGGCTGCATTTATATAGTAGTTTGTATGGTAGATTTTGTATCCAAAGTGCTTTACAAGTTTCTTCTCATCCATTCACACACACTCACATTCCATTGGCTGCAAGCTACCACGTAGGTGCTAGCCTGTCCATTGGGAGTAGTTTTGGGTTGGGGGGCTCAAGGACACTTGGACAGGTGGAGCTCTACTTCCTGACCCACAGGTGCCCCTTTTAAAGCAAAATATGACTCATAAATGCATAAAAATGCAGCATGGAACAACATTTCTACGCCTGCTGGTAAATCAGTAAATGTTGCTTTATGTTGTTAATGTATTTTCTGATGGATTAATGGTAGATGCCTCGAAGACAAAGTAATAAGACGCATGTTTCTTCTGCATTTAATGTCAATGCAGTCCACACATTGGATATAATTATGTGAGACTAATTCAACTCTGGTCTTTACAGGACCATGGATGTTCTCATCAGCCTCAACCATGGCAAATCCTTCATCTCCAGCTCCTACACCATCACTGCGTCCACATGTGTGAGTCTGGATGACTTTCTTATTCATACCAAAATGAAAGCATCTGAGATGATAATGGACTCTTATATTCTTTCCTGTATTTTCCACCTTCTAGTTTAAAAACTGCTCTCTTCCTGCTTCTCTTCTCTTTTGGATGCCATCCTAATAAGTAGAACTTCCTCATCCTCTGTTCCAAGATCATCATTTGTTTTCTGTAGTGAGTTCACAGTTTCTCACTGTATTTTCAATTGCAAAAATATGAAAGCAATTCAGTTCTCTTATGTTGACAATCAAGTAAAATTGTAAATGAAAGGCTCAATATCATCAATGAGTAAAATATGTGACCCGCTCTATCGAAATCAGTCGGAAGTCGCAACGGCTCATTTCAAAATAAACGTGAATTTGTGTAAATAAATAGTTTTTTGGGGTTCGGGTGTTTTGTTTGATTTTAAATAAACAAAGTCTTGGCTTTCAGAATATGAAACTTTTATTTCCAAAATCACACGATAAATTCATTTTTGAAGCTTGTAAAGGGAAGATGACAGCTCTCCCTCGCCACTCTGCTGTTCCTCAGCGTCGCCCCCCTCCCTCCGGCTGAAATTATGAATGTAAGGCGTATAGTAATCATAGATAACACGGCAGGGTCCGTTACAGTTTGTTTTCATCTGATTTCAATTAAACAATGTCTTGGCTTTCAGAATATTAAACTTGTTTCGGCAAATTCAGATGATAAATACAACTTTGAAGCTTGTAACGACATAATTACAAGCGGAGAACGGAGTAACTTGACGTCACAGCAGGCAAAACAACAGCCGGTGTTTCTCGTGAGTGTTTTCCCCGGGAAACAAACACAATACACACAAACGCAAAAATACACAAACACACACACACACATACACACACACACTCGCGAGCTTCCCCCAGACCAGTAATCCAAACGAAAATATCTTCCCTCCGTAGTATTTTGATCATTTGCTCCGCTAATAATCAATCAGATTGATGGATTCCAGAGAAGAGGAAACTTTGAAGGCCTTTTTCTCAAAATGATGACTCGGTGACAGTCATTATATAATGTGACATATTTTGCTTAATATTTGGAGTACAAAAACAATCTTGATATCATTAGAAAGCTAGGAATCTCCTCTTTCCAACAGTGTATACAACTCAAAATGTGTCTCCGGGTCAATGCGACTGATTTCGATAGAGCAGGTCACATATACACTTTAAATTATTACTTTAATATTCTGACAAAAATGATGATAAAACTTTGTAATATAATTATGGTCATTTTAAGGGAGGATAGGTTTTTACCCTTGACAAATGATCACAATCATACACAAACAAGTTAAAGAGATATCCCAGAGAACTTGATTACCTCGAAATGTATACATTTTCATTAATTAAGTCTTGCTGAATTCAACCTAAATAGTAGTAATCAAAGAAAAAATAATGCCATAAATCATAATGCAAAAAAATGCCCTTTTAATGGGATAAACTCAATTCAATTATGTCATTTTGCCTCCTTGCGTGTGACCAACCTATACCAAATGAATGTTTTGGTTTATCAAAAGGTTGTAAATATCCCTCATTGTCTGCATCTCATCTTAAATAATTCTCCACCAGCTAATTATCAGACATTTTGATAATTATGCAGGGGAAAATTCAAAATGTTTTTGTATTAAACTCGTGACTTTCTCCTTGCAGTCGGATGGTTGGGCAGTCGCAATTGTCTTCCTGGTGCTGCTGATCCTCGTCGCTCTGGCCCTCATGTGGTGGTTCTGGCCCCTTTGCTGCACAATAGTGAGTGTTGCTACACTGCTCATAACATACTCAACTTTGGGCAACCAGATCTCTACGATGTATTTGCTCTGAGTTGCATGTTTGCCAGCACAGAACCATGCTCCTTCATGTAAAACAAAGTTGCTTTGAATATTTCTCTAGCTCTGATGATGGCGTCAAGCTTCCTGTTGTTGCAAATGTCTTAAGAAATTGGTTCAGCTGAAAATATTTCTTTTTAAATTGAGTTGTAGAGTGGAAAACCCAAAGCTGTAACAATATACCGGTGATGAACAGCAGGTCAGTGGCAGGTTTAACTGTGTCCCACTTCCATGCTACTCTGTGAGGCAGCGGGCTGTGAGGGGAAGTGGTGTCGAACATCTGCTCGGCTCCGTCACCCCCCGTTCACCTCGGTGGCTTAGCAACACCGCAGAGGAAGAACCTCAAACAGGAAATGGGGAAACCACATCCTGCATCAAGTTCTGAGAAGAGATGAAGTTGTTTCATAGTAAGCAAAGAGTGTAACAAACCAAAGATAAGATGAGGACACTGAGTGACAGATTGCACCAACGTTAACAAAATCTCTGTTTGCCCATGACTAACATTGGGCCTACCTGGGGACTGAAGTGATTATTAATAATCACAGAGATTATTTATGGTTTATCACTTTTGAATCTGTAATGCCCATTCTGTTTTGGTAAACGCAGAAATCTATTTGTATATTTGTGAAACGGGATTTCGAAAAGTGTCACGGTTAAACTCCTTATGAAGTGGTGAGGTGCCGCTCCACATTGCTTTTCTTCCTGACTGCAACGCTGTTGTGTGTGTGTGTGTGTGTGTGTGAGAGCGTTTCACATGTGTGTATGAGAGATGTTTACATATGTCTGTAAATGATTTTGGTTTCAGTTTGTGTGTGTGTGTGTGTGTGAGCAGGCTCAGATTGGCCATCGGGAGATTCAGGACTTTTCCCGGTGGGCCGCTGCCGTTGGTGGGCCGCTGCCGTTGGTGGGCCGCTGCCGTTGGTGGGCCGCTGCCGTTGGTGGGCTGCTGCCTTCGGTGGGCCTCTGGCTCTGGCATAGGTGGGCCGTGGACTTTCACAGCGCCGGTACCGCACCCGCCGCCGCAAACACCCTCTGTTGCGAGGCTCCGGCGGCTCCGGCGCAGTGAAAGTCCACCGCCGTTGCGAGGCTCCGGCTGTAACAGTCCACTACCGCCCGCGAGGACCCAGGTTCGATTCCGGCCTGAGGTCCAAAAGAAAAAAAAAAAAATCTCCCGTTCATCGCGTCCATTCGCGACCCACCTATCATATCTCTGTGCCCCACACTTTGAGAAACGCTGCGTTAGTGCAATGTGAATATGTTCCTTTGATTATCAAAAAAATAAGAAGAGACATTAATATATAACGTTTCAACATTTCTTATCAGCGTTTCAGGCCACGTAATAATTTTTCAAACGGCTCTGGCACTATAAAACCATCTTCCTGGTATAAACAAAAAACAATGACAGCACACCCTCACTCTTAACTTCATATCATAGTTGAGAACAAATGTCATTATATTTATATCTAAAACAACTAAACTAGCCAAAGTGACAAAATTAATGACATTATGAATAAAAGTACATTTTGGGTATTTCTTTTCAACCTTGAATACACTGACAAAACATTCAGCAAACAAAGTTAAAGGTTTTCATCTTTAGCACTGGAAAACTAATCTGATTGAATCTGCCTCATCAGTAATGTGTGTGGTTTGATCAGATTTGATTGATAGGGTCGGCAAAGTAAGCAAATATGTTCAGTCAAATACTGTTAAAGGGGCCATATTATGCAAATGTTCAGGTTCATATTTGTATTTAGTGCCTCTACTGTGACATGTCTCCATGCTTTAATGTTCAAAAAGCTCTTTATTTTTGTGCTGCAGCACCTGTTTTCACCCTCTGTTTGAAACCAGAGCCCAGTCTGCTCTGATTGGTTAGCTGGGCAACATATTTCTGCCAATTTCAAACCTTCAAGAGGCAGCTCAGAGACAAATGTCACATGTAATATAACCACAAGTTTTATAACTTTCGCAGAAAATATTGTTTTCTCATGTTTTAGGGCTGTTAAGGCTAAACATCTGATACAGCTCATTGACCAGTGTTAATACCTTGTCCACTCTAAAAAGGGGCCTTATTATGCTTTTTGGGCTTTCCCCTTTCCATTAAAGCAGGTAAACATGTCATAGTAGAAGCACAAACATACCAAAGAACATGAAAATTAGCATAATAAACCTTAAACCCACTAAATGTATAGAGAAGCAATAATAAAAGCATCGCAACGTCAGCTCACGTGCAAACATAACATTTTCTATATTGGTGCCTTATTTTCTAATTGTTTAATAACATAAGCAATTTATTTCAATTTCAAGTAATTTCTTGTAATTTGAGGCAGCATAAAAGGCAGAACTGACTCCTCTTTAATATCAAATAATATCTATTTTAATTAAATACATGTAAATATATAATATTGACTCAAGTAAGAACGCTGTGACGATAAAAGAGAATTTCATTACTAAGTGCCAACGTGTTTGTCCAAGGTTATTCATTATTTCCACAGATCGCCACATGTTACTGGTCCCTCGTGAACAGGTGGAACCTGAGGCTGTGTGTAATTAACAAATCTAAACTTGCGATGAAATTCTGAGCTCTCCTTAATTGTTTTCCTTTCAACAACTTGATTTTGCTTGATGGAGGGTATTTACTTCTTAAATCCGTTGTTTAAACTGCTCTTTAGTGTGGATATTCATAAAAAAACCCAGCTCTCATCGCCTTTGGAAAAAACAGCCTCACCCACTTAACCATTTACAAAAACCCACAGCAGATTATCGTTTGGGGCTATGGGAGAGGGGCCGCAGATGGTGCACCCTGGTCTTTTCTGTGTGTCTGCCTTTTTTTACCGAGATCTGATAAAGGCAAATTTTACCCTCCACCGCCGCTTCGCTCTCACCCGCACCGCCCCTTAACTGATAGACGTCACCTGGCTTTGTGGACCTGAAGGGAGCCCATCCAGGATGAGATGGAAGCATATTTTGGAAAACCAACAAAGGCATTAAAATGTAAACCCCCTGCAGCATGTCTGGCCGCGGACGTGTTTGTCTTGGTGGAGAGAGCTGCTGTTGCCTTCCATCGAGGGACGCGGCAGAAGAGGAGGGCCATGTGTGGCTTGTTAATATTTAAACCCCCAGTCTGCCAGGTTTCAGCAGTCGGGATGAGGCCACATACACACACACACACACACACACATGCACAACCTCTTTCCCACAATCCCTCTCTCTGCCTCTCTGTCTCTTTCCCACATGGATTGATGCCAAGAGAGAGGTCATACAAGCTGTGGAGTGGTAATTTCTTTGTTTATGATTTGTTTGGAAATTAAACTCAGAATGCGTAGCCTTTAGTTCAAATGAAAGGATTCAGGCCCGGAGATGTAGTTTTCAAAATGACATTGCTGGTTTATCTGAAAAACCGAAGATTCGCTGCTAAATTGTATGCAATTTTTTTTTGGGACATATTTTCAATTTAGTTGGTGCATTATACGTTTATAATCTCAGTTGACTTTCAAAGTTGTTAGTGTTGCCCTGCATTGAACAATTTGTACCCCCTCAGACTCCACAAAGGTTTATTTGTCCGCAGTTAAAAGCAAAAATCATTTTAAAACTTCAAAATATGCTATCTGCCACCGATTCGTCACAATAAGCCTCCCGAAACAGCTTGACACAACACGGTTTGAGCTGGAGGTTGGGAACTAACGGATTACCAAGTCCCGTTGGACAGTTGCAGAGACAGCCATATGGGGACGATGCCCCGAGCCCCTGTGATTGGTCCCATTCCCCCTGGAGTCGTGACTGCGGTGGCTAGCCTCTGGGGCTGATGTCAGACGGCTAAGTATCCCGCGGTTTAGTTTTTAATTAAGCCGGCAAACGCTCATCTTCACATCTGTCCATCAGGTAGCTGGGAAAAGAGCAGCAGAGCGCCGTCATTTGTATAATGCTTTATTTATCCCACAATATGTCCAGGAAATCTGCTGCGTAATTACTTAATAAAAAGAGATAATCCTGTCAACGTAAGGTGTGGCTGAAATAATCACCCAGCGTATGGAGAGGCTACCAGTAGACCTTTTGTGGATTTGCTTACAGCCAGTTGTGTGTCAAAGAGCAATTAATTAACCCTAATTGATTATTTTTCATTATTCTAATGACAACAGTATGTCGAGAGTGTGGTGGTATCCCTGCGCACAGCAGTGCATGAAACAGCTGTTAGGATCTATGATATGCCATTATTATATTGCTCGTTTTTCCTCTTCCAAAACCAATTTAGCAAATGCATAACCAGTGATGATGGTGAAGTTTCTGTCTCTGATGACTAATAGACAAAGGCCTGCTTTCCGCTTTCCAAGTTGAGAAACCTCCTCACTTATAATGGTATGTTTAGTATTTATAGGCCAGCACTCTCGGGTGTAAAAAGTACTACTACTTCTACTGTGTAAAAAGAGTAACAGTGAGATGAGGCTTATCTCAGACCTACCCCGGGAACATCTGGGTGGAGAAGTCAACAGGAAACTCTCCTTCCTTTCTTATCAACCCTCTGCTGACGAGGAAAGTACTCACCTAATTTTCCTTATCATTTTATCTTCAAAAAACATCGTCAATGAACGTAATGCCATAGTTTGCCAAAGATATTTAGTTAACGATAATGATATCGAACAGGAAAAAAAGGAGAAATTCCACATGGGAATCTGGAACAAGACAAGGGGCCTCAAGTAGAACAAATTATGGATACAACATTTGGAAATTTGTTCTAATTTTCAAGTTTGGGATTCTTTTCGATAAAGAAATGATGATGGATTGTATTGATTAATAATTGAATCATTTCAGCATTGTACTCTCGTGTAACATAAGGACCTACAGTATGCAGTTTTGTTCTATCCCATGAAAGGATCTCAGTGTTTGTAGAGTGTTTGACTTCCAACCCCTGAAACCTGAACACACAGAGGAATAAACTCCACCTTTCCAGCGTGACTGCTCTCACAGATGGAGTGAGTGGCAGTGGTATCTTCAGCAATCCTAAAGTGAAAAAATAAAAAAGTCGGACATCAGTATGTGAAGCGTCTGACTGACACCTGACAAATGTCACTGTCGGGCTGCTCTTTGCTTTGCAAGGCACATCTGAAAACCCCAGTGGAGGCATCTTGTCCTTGAGTGGAATCACATTGTGGACAACCTGCTCCTCAGGTGCCATGTCATCCAGTGTTGTCATGAACAATGCCGCCGGGCCGCTCACTCTGCTGCGGGAGAGATGTGTGTCGTGCTTACGTGTGTTACCAGTTTTTTTCCTTCTTTTTGTGTGTGTGTGTACGCTGCCATTCACGGAGCACGCAGACGGGGCTTGGAGCGGAGCCGAGCCTCCGCCTCTGTATCTCATTGGAGCTAATTAACTCCTTAGGACTTTATGATTGGGGGTAGTGCTGGGGAGCACTGAACCCCATCCAATTAATTAAGAGCTAAACGGGCAGCATCGCTCGCCCCAAAGACTCCCCTGTCAACAAGTTGATTTTCAGCTTTTCTTTATTTTGCACAGGGGGCCCCTGATGTTGGTTTACAAGCAGAATTCTTGTAATCAGTAGTCAGTGGGGTGACGGGGGTCCTGCTGCAGTCACAGAGCAGCCTATGCGTGGAGCTCAGGGACGTCTCTCTTTGACTCAGTCACCTGTCACAAATCACCTCCGTCAGCCTCGTCTGTGCTTGTCCTCACAAGTGTGTGTTTGTGTGTGTATACGTCCCCTGATGGACTTTCTGCTGATGCTCTTTTGCCTTTCGTGTTTATCCAGGTCATCAAAGACCCGCCACCACCTCCTCCACCCTCCCGCCCTCCACCACCTGTGAGTACATCAATATAGTGTTGCCATGATGCCAGTGACATTGTTTTAAATGTGTGTGCTGATACTTGTATGAATCAAATTCTCCAGGTAGAGTAACAGAACAAATGTTGTGCTTCATTATATCTTCATTAAATATAATATATAACACGATTATCATCTAAATTGAGGGAATATATCTGATGAACAATGTCAAAAGATGAACACCATTCACAATATGAACTTTTGACAGAGCCAGGTTAGATGCTTTCCCCGTGCTTTAGGGCATTTTGGCTGAACTACACAGACAGCAAAGACAAAGAACGTTTCCTAAAGTGTTGAACTATTCCTTTCAAAGTATTTGAGAAGTTACTGCTGGCTTTACACCGAGATAGTTAAAGGGATGTGTTTTTTATTATTCATTAATTATTATTATCATTATCTATACATACATTTCTATATTTTTCTTACGCTATATAGGGTATTTTCCCAACTGGAAATATATCTCATGATATAAAAAAGTCATTTTAATTAACAATAGATATTAAGAGCTTCTTTTGCAGGACTAAATTCATTTGCAGGTCATTCAAAATACTTTCCTGATAAAGTTACGAAAATTGAGGAGATTAACTGATATTTAGCGGAGGAAATTCTTGGACCGTTTTGAAAGAGTGTACAGCTGTAGCATCAGGAAGGACATTGTGTTGGGGTCGGAAATGGTGGAATAAAAATACTCTTTTAACGTGTAATTGAGAAAAATTGCATAATTATGTGGAAAGAAAACTGTTAATCATATGTGCTCGTGCTATAACTTTTATTTATAGTCAGAGATCTGAAGTTTACGTTTGATTATTCAACTTTATTCTCTTCTTATTTGTACCTTCATGCCTTAATATTCTTCTGTGGACAAGAGTGTCTCTTCCTTTCTGCCAAAATGTCGTAATGAGCCTTTCCTGTTTAAAACAATAGTTAACGCAGTCCAGCACTTCCTTTCTTTTGTCCATGTGGATGTAGTTGTTTATAACAATGAAGTTTGCATATGGTTCCTCACACTGTAATACAATTGTGTATATGTGTGTGTATATATATATATATATATATATATACTGTATATGATTTTCCTAATTTCCTCTTTTTCCTTAAAGGAGCCAGAGCCACTGCCTAAGTCAAAATGGCCGTCTGTGGACGCCTCTTACTACGGAGGAAGAGGAGCCGGCGGGATCAAACGCATGGAGGTCAGAGCCTAAATATCATCCCCCGACATATTGCTTCCAGGAGCTTGAAACCCTTTCATCACATTCACAAAGACACCCTTTCATGTTCCACATATCACGCTCCTTGAAGTTGTAAAATGATTTGAGCAGTGAATGTTGAAACAATAAGGCGTCTTTTCTTATCAAATGAAATCCTAGAAAGATAAAATCCCAGACAGCAGGAAGTCACACATTTCTGACAGCTGTTATCCTGTAAATCAGAACACTGAACGTCAGCAGTTTGCTCTGAAGCTACAAGTTTGTCGAGTTACACGGGCAGGAGGAGGCGGGGGGGGGAGGGGGCTGACTGAGAGGCCGGCCCGCTGTCCTCGTCAGTCCACTGATGCCGCAGACATGACAGGCCCTGCCATCTCGTCCTTGGCCGTCCGGGGCCTGATTGGATCAAGTCATCGCCGAGATGAAGGATTGAGTGCTGCTGTCAACTTGACAAATCCACCTCACCTACCTCAACTCCCCTCCCCCGCTTCTCAACTCCCAAACGTCGGCAGCCTCTTTTGTTGTCCGCGTCCTCCGAAGGGAATCCAGGTTTAAAGGCAAGCTCCCCTCCTCCCCGTCGCTGTTTTTACCCCCTTCCGGTTCTCAGCCCCGAGGAAGTTGGTTCCGTTGCACGGCTTTCCCCCCATCCTCCGGGAGGTCCTATCTCTTTACTTTCCCATGAGAGTTTGTGAGCTGCGAGTACGGAAATCCTTGGCTCTCTTCTTGCTGGAGCAGGTTGATTCCCACCGACAGGCCTATCTCCACATCTGAAGACCCCCCCCCCCCCAGCGGATGGAGGACGAGGTGCTTGTTAAGGTCAACCTGCACCCTCCTCTGCATCAACGTTTAAGACGTCATGCTGAGAAACACCAACCTCCACCTCCAACACTTTGCCGCTGCCAATATTTCAAACGCGTATTGAGCCGGCCGAGGTGACAACGTATCTTTTATTCATCGCGGCCCGCTCTTCTCTTGATGCGGCAGGCCGGGGATAGATCCCAGAGATGATTCTGAAAAGCTGTTCTATATTGTCACGGCTTAACCTACAGCTTGAAAACTGTGTTGCTAATTAATCACCTCTCCCCATTCATGTTTTTATCTCCTCCTTGAAACAGATGTGATGAATTCAATTAAAAAGCAGGACAGCTTAACTAACACACAGGCCTGTGTTCACACGCTAACACAATGACACATTATAGCACATGTAAATGTGCTTATTATTACAAGCAAACACAGGTTTACAGGTCACTTCATTTCCTTATGGATACATAGTGATACCAGTTGCCCAACTCCCTTGTTATTATCAGCATGTTTATGCTTCCTTTGTGTTTATGAAACAAAAGATCATCCACTTCTGGCTATATGCAAATACTAAATGTGTGATTTTACATTGAATTGCTAGGTTATACCTTTAGTTTTGTGTCTTTAATTTGGATCATTCTTTTTGAATGTTTCCCAAATTATTAAGTTTCCTTATTTTACCTTTTTTGCTCCTTTTTTATTATAATTTGATAAACTTTCTGTCCTATAAAATGTCTGAAAAATGGAAGGTGGACATATCAAGATGCTTTGTTCAACTATTAAAAGCAGTACACCCCCTAATTATAGAAGTTAGAACCAGGAAGTTGTTGGTCTATTTTTCTATATTCTCATTTTATTGATGAATACCTGCCCAGCCCTTTGATTTAAAAATCAGTTACTAATGTTATTTTAATATTCCTTATTTAATGAATGTCTCATATATTGGTACTGTGTGTGTTCTTACTTGTCCAGGTGCGGTGGGGGGAGAAAGGCTCCACCGAGGAGGGGGCCAGACTCGAGAAGGCTAAGAACGCCATAGTGTCCATGCCAGAGGATTCAGAGGAGCCGATGATCAGACGCCCCCCCCCCGAAGGCTGCCCCCACAAACCATCACATCGAGAACAAATGGTACACTCCCATCAAGGTGAGCGGTACTACCTGCAACTGATAGGACTCAATATGTTGCTTCTTCTGTCTTTAGTGTAGAGCTTTTTCACTTCTCTTCCCTCTGGATGCAAATTGGAAAGATTCAATCATTTTTAATTTCCAATACAATGCAGTGCATTTCTTATTTACTGAAGATGTACCAGTATACTGGCAACTTACACATGTGGGAGTATTCCTAATGTAAACCTAATTCCTATAAATATGACACCTATTGGAGTCATATTTAAAGATATTAAACATTGAAAGCAGTTTCAGTGGAAAGCTGGGATTTGTGCATGGTTTGAAAAAGCTTTATTGTGTGTGATGATGCCTGTATTACTTCACATGATTGTAATCATATGGGAAACAAAATACAACTAATATTTCGACAAGTTGTTTGAATCACAGAGAAATAAAATGCTATATTGTGGTTCTGTTTCAAAATACATGTGGCTAAAAGTAACTTTTTTCATGTAAATGATAATGTAATCTTCATGACCATGAGTAATCTGATTGATGGTGAAAAGATGTAAACATATTTTTGAAATTGCAATAATTTCTTTTCAAATTGATTGTACATTGTAACACATTTTGAGAATTATATTTCTGTGCTGCAAAAGAAAGGTAAACATTGGAGGACATGTTAATCAATATGGTCTGGTCTTATATTAAATTAGATGCATGTGACACCAACACTAAAATGAAAATAATAGTGTAAATCACGATGTTTGTAATTTCATCAACAAACATGTTGCTGAACTAAAGTCCTGTCTCTTTTTTTTCATCATCATCAGGGTCGTCTGGATGCTTTGTGGGCTCTCCTGGGCCGGCAGTATGACCGAGTTTCTCTCATGCGACCCTCAGACGCAGACAAGGTAAGTCATTTAAAAAGAATCTCCACTAGTGCAGCATTTAACACTTTAGGTTCCTTTGGAAAAAGTATTTGCAGAGATGCCTGAAAATACAAATATGCAGAGGCAGGCAGGATTGCATAAACAGTGAAGTGTATGCGAGTGTTTGTCTGTAGGTTTGTACACTTAATCCGCACCAGACAGTTGTGTTGTGTCTTTAGTTTCACAAACTACACCCTGAAGGGAGTGACTCACAGTCTCATCAGTGGTCATGTGTGGAGTTTGATGCATTCAGGGATATAAATAGAGAATTTCCCGCATCAGTCAGCAGGATGAACGTTCTTATTTGACTATTTATGTGACTGTAACTCTTCTACAATATTATCCCTACTATGAGTATTTTTATTCTTCCTAATCCTTTGAGTCATCACAATTACAGTTAAGAAGTCATTGTTTTATTGCAGTATTGAATTACAGAGGAAGTTGCTGGCACGACTTTAGCATTGTGTTATTGTTACCTAACAAGGACGATGTGAGCTGCAGCTGCAACGGCTCACTAAGGAGAGAATGACAGGGACATCCTAATATGGTCACACTTGAGTCAAATGGAAGCATCTAGGCTCCACAAACCAACACACTGAAACCTGACGCCCCGCAGGCGGTTAGGAGAGCACGCTGCTCACAAACCGCCACCAAGTCAGTTAACCAGATGTTATGATATGTTCTTAGCTTTGTAAGGCAGCAGTTAGTTTCACAAATCACATAAACCCCTGTGATGATGGAGCATTTTGGATTTCATTTCTTGGCCCAGAAATATTTTCATTGGCCTGTTCTTATGAAGAACATATGTTTGCTCAGTGGATTGTCAATGAAGTAGAGTATTGCTGAAGCTTAAAAGGACAAAATGACTCCTCTGACCATTCATACCTAACATCCCTGTTGTCTTTAATCCACTGCGGTGGCCAGTTATAACGATCTTCCTCTACATAGAAGTCATATATTTTTAATGGTTTCCAGAATAATGTAAGGCTGCTTATGTCTAAAGTGAAAGAACGTTTGCCACTTTGTAGAACAAGGACAAAACCGAGCCGGTGTGCCAGCTGTGAGCTTGCTATTTGCTACTGAGGGAGTCACCTTGCCTGAAGATGTGCCAGGTTGCATTAAACATTGTTTGCAATCAATAAGTCTATATTTTAACATGTGGCTAGGACCTGGTGTACATTAAACTCATGAAGTGAAAGAACTATGCATATAGACTCCTTGACATGATCCATGTACTTCTGAAGATGCAGCATAGGTGGCTTCATTAACCTAGGGATAGTCTGCCCCTAACTCCTGGCTAATCCAAAAATGGGAAAAGAGGTGACGCGTTGGTGCAGCTGAGATAGGCCGCATTCAGCACACTGTGATAGCAACAGGCTACATCACTGTTGCATTGCAGCGCATCACCATCGCTAAGCTTAAGGATGTTTGTCATGAATACGTTTGGCAATCTAATTTTATCACATATGACACATAAAGCTTCAGACCTTCACCAGTTGGGTATTCACTGACATGTTCTATGTCGTAGAACATTAGTGAAGACCTCGTAAACTTTGTGTTACGATGTCTAAAGTTACTGATAAGTCACATGTTTCCTGCCTGGCCGCAGCGTGTATCATTACCCTCTCTCGTCTGGGTGCTAAGAAAGGAGCCCTCAGCCAGTGCAGCAGCAGCCAACACATTGCTGACTGTTGCTATCTGTAAACTATGCCGCCGAAACATAATTTCAGACACACACACACACACACACACACACACACACACACACACACACACACACACACACACACACACACACACACACACACACACACACACACACACACACACACACACACACACACACACACACACACACACACACACACACACACACACACACAGTGTTCCCAAAGCACCAGTGTTCTGCAGTTTGTGTGGGCCTACTGTACTGTTGCACAGTTTATACTGTAGAAACTATGTCCAGGACAAGGTATTTGGATGTTTTGGAAGATTCATAGCTAACCACACTGAAGATTATGGATTATCTCATATTTTTAAGCCCCCCCCCACTCTAACATCACCAGAAGTCATAATTTAAGGGGTCATTTAAAAAAAAAATCTTCCGGGGGAGCATCCCCACGGACCCCCCTAGTGTGGTTTGGTCACCATTTCCATAGCCCCACCAAAAATATTTTCCACCAGCCGCCACTGAAAGTTAGGCATCTCAACATGTGGTAGTGTCTATCGGGATTAACTGGCTTTTGGAGCCAGCCTCAAGTGGCCATTTAAGGAACTGCAGTTTTGCTACTTGATTAAATTATAGTAACCTACCAATCACTAAATCCTTGCTTTATTTATTTTTCTTAAGCGATACCATTGCCGCCTCTAAAACTATGGTGGTGCTGTAGAAAAGGTAACAATTATTATTGTATGACACGAGTTGGCCCCAAGTTAAAATGGGATGGTGGTATTTGTATTGCGTCATGAGGCTTGAAGTGGAGTCCAGGGTTTTCATCGGATGACCAAAGCGGCATATTTTTCTGCTCTATACTTGTTGGAAGGGCTGCTGTTTTCCAAATGAAATGACAACAAATCACCTGCCCAGTTTATAGTTATCCTACTGAGTTTTAAGCAGGATCGCGGGCATGTGGAAATATTATGTTTTCGGCTCTCACTAATGATAGATGATGATAGATGTTCCCACACAAGAGGTCACCTCAGTTTTTCCCAGAAAACTGTTTGGATGTGTAGGAAAGCGTGAGTGAAGCCCACTAGTGAGGGATCCAGCAATGTCAAAGCACTTAGCATTGAAGGGGACATGGAAGAGCCGTATCCAGCGGAGTCCCCCGCACTGCTGGCAGCTTCACTTCATTCACATGCCGATCACTGAGCCAAACTCCACTTTTAAGTCTTTGATCAAATCTGTACATAGCGGATACAGGCGAGAATCAAACAGCAGGCCACGGAGGCTGTGTGTGTTTGAAGTTACATCCTCAAGAGATGACAGTAAATGCAAACTGAATATTGGTGAAAGCAGAAATAATTCATTTTTAAATGAACCAAAATGTTTTAAAATCTTCTGGTGACTTTCAACATAGTGCTTCAATCATTAGTATGAACAATAAAAATACATTTTTAAAAAGGTGAACAATGATTTTATCAATATTCGGATAAAAAAATGAATCAAAACTATTGTTTGTCTCAATTACTAGTTTAAAGTCTATTTCAATATGGCATAATGTTGGAGGATAACGCACCGTAAGCTTTAGGATGGGGCTACCTTGTAATTGAACGGGCAACTCTCAAGTTGTTGTCCAGTTTAGGTGTTGTCAGAATCTTTTTTCTCAGAGCTTGAAGCCTTTTACAGAGTGTTTTCATTACATTAAAGTTCATTGTAATTACTTGGTCACCCGTGTCTCTTGTGGTTCCAATAAACAGAGATAGTGACGGCCAAAAAACGAAACTCGCTACTTCAAAACTGCAGTCTTCAAACCAATGGGTGACAACGTCCACCTCCTATTAACAGTCTATTGTCCAAAGGCTTTAAACACTGGTAACATCATATATACCTTAAGTCAGCCTCTCATTGGACACATTTAGTTTAGTTGATGCTCAACTCGTTTTTGTCTGGAACCGTTTTTTGAGTCCTGCTTCTACTGGTCTTGGATATACAACATAAGTATCTTATTGTTGGGCTTCTTCCACATAAACAGCTTTCTGTTTTAAGCCATTGTCATTTTCCCACCTTATCTTTGCATATTTATATATTATTTTCTTATGGGCTATGTTTTTTTTAAGTTACTTGTCTCCTTAGAGCTGATGTCGCATCACTAATTTCTTCTGTTGTTGGCCACCAGTCTGGTCTTCAATGAGATGTACGTGAGGTATCGGATTGAACAAACAAACAAACTTGACTTGATCAAAGTAAGCAGAGTCTGAACTGTCCAGTGGGAGGTTAGGTGTAGATGGCAGAGCGGGCAGCAAGGACGTGGAGAAGGGAGAGGAGAGGCGCCACGGAGGGAGGGGAGGGGAGAGAGCGAGGGAGGGCACTGTTCTTTGATGGCGACAGGAAACCTCCAGGGTCATGAATTTTTCAGTGCGCCGCGTCCGTGGGGTTACAAGGACTCGTACAGGTGTAAGGAAGCAGGTTGTCGCAGACATCTGTTCAGCACGGGGACCGGGGTGTCCATGCCACCCCCTCTCCTTGCTGAGCTCCAATCCTCACCCATCTTCCCTCCCTCGGCAGTCTCCTTTCCTCCTCCCTCAGTGCTGCCGCCCGGAGCCAGACTGCTGGATTGTCAGCAGATGCGGAAGAGAGACACAAAATGAGAGTGAAACCGTTTTTTTTCTCTCTTTTCTTCTTTTTGTGGTCTCACATTTAGCGCCCGAGGGCCTTCAACACCAAAGGTAGAGTGGGGGTGGACACAGCTGCAGTGCCGAACTTGCCCCAGGCACAAATAAAGAGATCTAATGTGGTTTGACTGTGTTGTTGGTGAGACCCGGGAGCCGGGGAGGCACTTCAGAGCCAACTTAGCACAGCAACATCTGCCGCCAAGTTTTGCCGGGGATCGACTGGGGACAGCAGGTAGAGGAAGGTGGCAGAGAGAGACAGACAGAGAGAGGGGGGGAGAGGGGTGGGCCTTATATTCTGGTGCTCACTCTTTTTGAGGAGGCGTTAGTCTGCATTCATCTGGGTTTTTTTTTTTCCTCATTTCACCTTCACACTCTAGGTATTGTTTTCTAAAAGCAGCTGTCTACAAAATGTCCAAACAAGGTGTGTAATGAATGATGCATCACCATACATCACCATACATCACCTCCTACAGAAGAAGTCACACGATAGTACACAAGCCAAAACCTGAAGGCAGTCACTGAATGTGCATTTCCAGTTGGTCCTGTAGCTCTCATCTGTTCCTCACCAGGGGGATGTGTGGGCTGAGTACGTGTGTGAGCTTCAATAGTTTTATCTGATGGACCTTTATACAAAAAGAATGTCTGTG